TTCATTCTCCTCCAGCCTCAGCCTGGTACTGGGATTACAGACATGCATTGCCTCAGCTGATTCTTGAATGCCACTGCAGCTGCTAATTCACTTCTTCATTATCTTTAATCTTAATCTCCCTCTACCTATTTTAGTTTCTTTCAATGCAGGACTACATTAGATCAATGATAGCAACAAGAATTAATTGAGATTTTCTAACTACCGTCATCTTAAGAATTCTAAGGACCTCACTAAGATCCATACTTAATTCTTCTGCTAAATAAAAAAGATATTTTATATAACTTTAAGATGTTAGAAATACAAAATTAATAAGCCATTATCAATTATTTTCCTCTAGTTTAAAGGTATGACTGGCAAGTAAAAGTGACAGGACACACGGATCCAACTTGCTGTACCTATGAATTGTGGCATAATTAAATTAAACTAACCAATATCACACCCCATAAATATATTTGAGATCTATTTTCTCAGTTGCTTTCAAGAGTCCAATCAGCACACTGATATATAATCATGATGTTATACTAAAGAACTACAGAACTTAATCTAAGACTCAAACTGCTGCACTGACACTTTCTAGCTGCTAGACAATCTGCTTCTCAACCTATGGGTTATGACCCCTTTGGGGTCAGATGCCTGCATATCAGATACTTACGTTACAACTCATAACAGTAACAAAATTACAGTTATCAAGTAGCAATAAAATAATTTCATGGTTGGGGGATCACCACAACATGAGGGTTGCAGCGTTAGGAAGGTTGAGAACCACTGCTAGCATCTCTCCATTCTCTAGGCCCTGCAGTTCTTTAACAGCCTATAGCCTGTTAGCTTATCTGTAAAGAAAAACATTTTTAAAACACCTATACCAGTACATATATTTTGTATTCTTAAAAACTAGTTTATACTACTATAATTATACAGATACTGTATGTATGTACATACATAATCAAAAAGATTGAAAGAAAGAATTAAAACATAATTAGCTTATGCTACTGATTTACTTTGTAAATTGTGGTATTTGCCCACATATCCCTGGAAAAATGACTAGCATGTATGGGTCCGAACGGCTGAAAGTTTATTTAAAAATAAAAGCTTTTATCACACAGCTTGACCACTGACATTTGTTCCTAGTAGAGTCTTCCTTACGTATTATTGCTACTCAAGCCTGCCTTTCAAATTCTTGAAGCTCTTATAAAGCTCGCATTGACTTTTTTTTTTTTTTTTGGCAGTGTGGGGGATCAAAGCTAGGACCTTACATATGCTAGACTAGGGCTCTACTACTGAGCCATACTCACTCCTAGTACATCTAAGCACTCCTTAATGCTGTGTAGTATTCACTAACTCATGAATTCAAAGGCTAAACTGTAGCTATGTGAGTCAACTAGCTAACTTTTAATGCTAAGATTTGAGCCTAACCAAGGTAAAAATCTTAAGTACATATTTTATGTGCATATGCCTATCTCTAATTTCATATGAAAAACATGAATATATAAGATTCCAAGTAAAATACAGCAAATGCCTGACACTGATGAGACAGTGAATACATTACAAAGAATCCTCAAACAGACTCAATTAAGCATCCTTTTATTAATCCCTTTTTTGTAACAAAACAAAATGTGGAGATAACAAAAAACCAAGTTTGTATAGTTTCCTCTACAAACAAACAAAGTAAGAAAACACTTTGCCCAAGTACAAAAGAATGCAGTGGACACTGGTCTTTACAAAACCTGACAATTTCAAAGAAACTTCAATATCAAAGCCAAACAGCCAAACATTGCTTAAGTCTGCTGTACAACAGCACCACCAGGTGGTGGTTCATGCAATCTTCACTCAAGCACCTTCCATATAGGAACTTGGGGCAACCAATGCATCTGCTGATATCTCTGAAATCAGAAATAAAACTCCAAAGTTTTATCTAAAAATAATATTTTCTACTCTGCTTTCATCCTTATGAGCAATACAAAACACACTAATCATTTATATGTATAATTTATATATATTATATATATATATTAACCTCTCAACTCTTCTTATTAACCTAAATATCCAAACTTTCTCAAGTGTAGTATAATTTCATTAACATTACAACTTTGAAGATGTAATGCAATCATAAATTTTAACAATTTTTAAGTTACAATAATTTGTAATCTACACCTTATCCCCAAGACATAAATAATTTAAATACAGATCTGCATTTTAATACTGCTGAATGTCCTCATAAATAAGTCTGTAGGAAAATTAACTTATTACACACTAGCATAAATGGATTTTAAAATTTAAAAATGTTTCCTACATATTACCTTCAGCAAACAGAAATTTTTGTTTTTCAATCTATAGCACAAATGACCAGATTTTAAATTTAAATACACCATAACTATTTTAAGCGTAGCTCTAAGTCTTATCAACAGTAAAATCACTGATATTCGGGCAAACCTTAAGGTCCCAAGCTCACAGCAAGTTCATACATGTGTAGTTTAATTTAATTAATGTGTGCATACTCATGTATACTCACACACACACACACAGTTGTGATGAAAAAAAAGCTATAACTGATATTGCTCATACTACCCTCTCATTGAAAATGAATGATTCCTAACACAAGAGTTTTAATTTTGTTACCATTCCAATTAACCAAACAATACTATGTCTGAATTAGTGTATGAACTCAATATCCACCCTTAGCATTGCTAATTTCAGACATGGTACTTTCCATCAGTACTTGACAAAGAAACATCACCTTAACTAACTGACAGTGGACACCTGAGTCCTCCCTGGGTAACTACTCAAATCATACTTGAGCCTTCTACTGAAACTGAAAAACAAACAAACAAAAAAAAGAATTGAAAAGGAAATTTAAATAACATGTCTTTTCCATATAGAAATAATACGTCATACTAAGATTCATAGTGAAAGAACAAACAGAAAATTCAGTGCTGCTTTATATTTTGGTCTACTGAACTTTAGAACTATTGTGAGCAGAATGGCTATGTTACAGAAACAGCATTACATTTTCAGAGTTTTGCAAATTACAAATAGAAAACAATTTGTTCATTTAAAATTTACCTGAAAGATATTCTGCATAAATAAAACTCCCAGATAATTCATTCTCATCTTACTAGGCAGGAAAGACTTTTATATTTCACTGAAGAACATTTTCTTAAACAACAACAAAAACCTTTACTTATGTTTTCTTTTAAGAGGGGTGGAGCTGGATTGATTCAATGTAGACCACTTGCCTAGCACACAGAAATTCCTTCTTAAGTTCCATGCTCATCTGTGGGAAAGCAAAACTAACAGCAACACACATACAAAAAAAAAAAAAAACCCCTTGAAAATGTAACCATTTCCTACAGGTTAGTTACAATCTGAGACAGCAGTCCTTGTAGGCTCTAATCTCTCTTTTCTTATGTCTGTCTATGGAGAACACTGTGCTTCCTGTGCTTATGTGGGAAACTCAGCATAGTCTACAGGCTCCTAAATACAAAATGAATACATTTTCTGGTATATGGCTATTTGGGTCTTTTCTCTTCCTCTTGGCTTTCCCATAGCTGATTTTCAAATGATTAAAGTTACTATACGAAAATTACAACAAAACAGGCTATTGATACTGCAGTGGAGTTTTTAAGAACTCTGTATTTCTGAACATGGAGCCAAAAAACATCTTCCCTTAGAAAATTAGCCTTATCATAAATTGTGCAGTGCAGTTTCTGGCTTCTTTTCTACTGGAATCAGAATCAACCTGCCTCATTCTAGCCTTTTCTATTCTTCATACAATATTACTTTCCCCTAAATGATCTATTTAGCATACTCACATACACTTTTCAGTCAATACTAAGAACTTTAGGAACAAAGGAAAGTGATAAAGGAAGGCTGCGTGTGGTAGTTATATGCCTACTCACAACACTCCTGAGGCAGAGGCAAGAGAATCATGAGTTCAAAGTCAGCCTGGCTACAAAGTGGGACCCTGTCTCAAAATGAAAAGAAAAGAAAAGGCCACAATTGCACTGTGGTCTAATTATATGTGAAACGAAGAGAGAGTTAGAAGGTAATAATTATACTAACTGAAAACAATGTGTTTATAACTTGTATTTCTATGACAAAGAAATGCTGATGAACCAAATCTGTTTCTATCAGTGAGGATGCTCAGTAGTCACAGCACAAATATATAATTTTCTCTGGCAAATTAAGAGCCTAATATGAGAGAATTTCTAAAAAGCATTGGAAATTTTCCAACAGCATCAGGAATATTAATAAACATGATGGCGTTTTTAAAATGTAGATTATATATACATATATGTTAAATACATATAACAAATTACAAAATTATACATTTTCTACTTTGTTATCAATTATCAGTAACAAAGTGAAGCTTCAGTACTTCTCCCTAAAAGAAATAAAAATCTGTTTTTCTTTTGTGAAAAGTTCCTACACCTCGAGTTTTACAGAAATTTTCTGAAGTCATCATTTTACAAATAGAAAAAAAAATGAGATGACATTTGAATAAAAAAATATTACTTCCATTTTTTCCTAGTAAAGACGAGAATTTTTAAAGCATTTAAATAATTAGCCCCATTGAACTATAAGGCTTAAATAAATTAATACTACCACTTTATATAAAGTAGATAGATGGTTTATGTCAAACTGACTTGAAGAATTTCTTCTCTACGGAAGAAAGTAAATAAGGAAAAATATCTTGTCACAGGGATTAGGGGTATCATCTTTGTTGCACATATAGCCCAAAGGTACCCAACTAACTCACCTCTGTTTTGCAACCTAAAACACATAATAGAAATTATGTGAAAAAAAAAAAAAACGAATTTCAAGATGGTAAAACCTTCTGGTGGCACCTGTAACCAATCACACAACACTCAGGTCATCAAGTAGCTAGGAAGATGATGGACAAATACAGCACTCCATTTCCCTCTCTGTAAAACAGGGTGGACTTTCAGACTGGAAATTTACCACAGGTAAAAGCTATATAAAATTAAGTACTTGATCCATACCTTGTTTTGATTCCAAACCTTCTGGTTGTTTGTTCTCTCTCAGGGATGAAGTAGAATCTATACAGGCATCTTGCCTAAGCAATAAAAATAAAAACTTTTAAAATAGTATTCAATCATTTAATGTTCAAGTTCTTAGAATTATTTTAGGTTCCAGGGAGACACAATGAATTCCAAGCCCCAGGCTATAATTTAATACTTGGGAGACTCAGAACCTTGTATACATGTGTCAGAAGAAGCAATTATAAATGTGTACTTAATTTATACAATGTACTTCTTTGTAAAATCAAGGGGAAAACCTAAGGGAACTTGGAGGCAATTTTTTCTCCCAAACTCCGTAGGGTAGCTGATGGAAGAAATCACAACTCACAGCAGTATCCAATAATTTTTTCAGTTTTCACAGTTAAATGTAATGGGCATTTTAACATTCAAATTACTTTATATTCATCTAATTTCATACCTCAAATGCTTTGATGTCTACTATATATGGAAAACACATTTGATATGTAATATACACATGTAATCAAAGTAAACAGATTAAATGTAAGAGCGTGCAAAAAGTTTCACAGCCCAACCTGCAGCAGAGCTGCACACAGTGTTGTACCATCACTGCTGATGGTACAAGCCCCTTTCCAACTGTCAAGATGAGATCAATACATATTCAAGTGAGATCAGCAATGACCTTCTCAAATCAGATAACTATTTCCCTCTGAGAATTTTATCCTGTCCTAAAAGAAACATTACAGGAACAATTTGGAAACTGTTGCTAGTCACAAACCTATTTCATCCAGTTAACAGTAGCAAGTCTTTCAAGTAACCTAAATATCTTTGCCAAGTTTATTCTTTATAATCAAGTACTTGGCAAGTGTATGTTCCAAATTCAAGGACTCTAAGATCACGTCTTTGGAGCCATGCATGGGAATGCACATCAGTCATTCTACCACGCAGGAAAGAGAAACAGAAATAGCAATATCGATCTTAAGAAACTCATTTGGCTTTGGTACTAATAATAATTTCTATGAGATTTGTAGTTGCCCTGACTCCACTTTTTAATGTTTATTTGCTATCTAATGTCACCTATTCAGATTTTATTCTTTCATTTCACTACAATGACTGGCATGTCCCAAGGAGGGTATCAGAACATTCTCCTTGGTAATCCAGGAGCAAAATACAGAGCTTTGCTAGGAATAGTTAAAATGTTCTACCTCAAGCATTCCAGAAAACTCAGATAGTATATACTCCAAACATGGATTAACATTTAAAGAAAACATTTCCTTTTATGTGTCCTCAAACGGCATATAATTCTTTATCTATACATACATGTACCTAAAAACCACAAAAGTGCGCAACTGTCACACTGTCAAAATATTGACAGTCTTTCATTAAAATCTGTAATTTTTGTGCTGTTAAGAAACAGTTAAATTTAATTATTATCAATGTACCCTAAGTTATCAACAAGTGACAATATAGTATCACTAGTAAAAGATATATAGGACATATATCACACTCCAAATACAACACAACAAAATCTGTATAATCTAGCTGAGAATGTGTAGCCTTCATTATGACGAAGCAACAAACAAAACCATCACTAAAATGAGTGATGCTTTTTAGTGAGTTCAGTGTCAATATTATGAAATACAAAAGGTTATGGAAATATTTCACGTCAGAGGAATCTAAAAGGCCATGACAATTATATATAACAACTGACCTGACTGGAGAGGGAGTAAAGGCCAAACTGAACTGAATCAAAAGAGAAATTGAAATACTGATGGTAAAACTGGATAAAGGCCTTTTGTGAAAGTTAAATTTCCTGAAATTGATACCCGTGGTTATAGAAAGACCATGTTTGTTCTTTTGAAAACACAATGTAGCATTTAGGGATAATATGTCACATCATAATGTGACTTAAGCCTCGAATGTTCACTCACACACAAAAAAATTGCACAAGTAGGGCCAGAGAGATGGTACAGTAGGTAAAAGTGCTTGCCATCCAAGCCTGACACTGAGTTTAGTCCCTGGAACCCATGTAAACAGAGGAGAGAAAGACTTGTTCTCTGACAGCCACGTGTGTGAAGGCATAGATTCATCAGGCACATACACAGTAATATTAGTTTTTTCAAAAGTAAACAAACATATATATACATGGTATGTAACAGGATCAGATGCTAATAAAAAGTAAATCTAGACATATGCTATAGAGATTTCTCCTTTACTAGTCTGATTTTTACAAATGTATTAAGTCTAAAATTACTTCCAAATAAAATGTTTAAGTTAAAAATGCAACAAAAACTGTTCAAAGCCCCTTAAATATCCTTCAAATAAGACTCTATAAAGATTATCTACTGTTATAAACAATTTATTTGCGTGCATAAAATTCTACTTTAAGTTGGGTTTGATCAGGCTGTTGAAGTCACAAAACAGAATTTCTATAAGTAGGCAAAGCACGCCACCCTGTGGCAAAAAAATGAAAAGACACAATTGTTTTAAGACCAAAAGTGGCTTTGAATAATTTAAAATTTAAAAATCACTATTAAGCAGGGGATGGTGACATACACCTGTAAACCCAGCTCTCAAAGAGGCAGGGACAGGAAGATCTCCAAGTCTGAGATCAGCCTGAACTACAAAGGAAGACTTTGTCTAAAAATAAACAAGCAAATAAAATTAATACAAATAAAAATATTAGAAAAGAGCCAGGCAATGGTGGGCACCAAACCCAGACACTACTGCTGATGCCAAGAAGCTCTTGTCCTCTGAGAGGCTCTGCCAAAGTCTGACCAATTCAGATGCTTGCAGCCAACCATCAGACTGAGCACAGGGACCCCAGTGGAAGAATTAGGGGAAGAACTGAAGAAGCTTAAGGGGTTTGCAACCCCATAGGAAGAACAACATTATCAACCAACCAGACTCCCCAGAGCTACCAGGGACTAAACTACCAACCAAAGAGTACTCATGGAGGAACCCATGGCTCCAGCTGCTGTAGCAGAGGATGGCCTTATCTGGCATCAAGGGGAAGAGAGGCCCTTGGTCCTGTGGAGATTTAGTGAGGTGGGAGTAGGTGGTTGGGTAGGGGGAGCACCCTTATAGAGAAGCAGGTGGGAGGGGAGAGGGGATAGGAGGTTTGTGGAGGGGAAACCAGGAAGGAGGATAACATTTGAAATGTAAATAAATAAAATAATCAATAAAAAAATAAAAGCATAATAGGAAACAAAACATTAAAATGCCTTCAATTGAGAAAGACATGTACATAGCACATAGACAAAACAACTGGAATCCAACATCCTTTGTTATTAGGAAAATGCACATTAAAACTGCAATGTGATACACTCCACATGTTAGGAAGGCCAAAACAACCAACAAACAGAACTCTCAGTGTTGACAAGCAAGGACACAGAAATGGCACAGCAATCCTAATCCTACGTGCTTCCTTTAATACAAAAAAAAAAAAAAAGGTTTGTTCACACAAAAGTGTTGGGAGCCGACTCTTAGCCGAAAGTGGCTATCATCATTACAGCCATCTTGAGCCATATACCCTGACAAGAGACTTGTTTCAACAGCCTGCAATAGCTGAGCGCACTCTGATAAACATCTTGTTACACTGTTTAGTGCCGCCAGCTGCCAGGTGCTCCTGGTATCCATGGCTACAAGACACGTGACGTAGTGGCTTCAGTTGAGATTGTCCACGAGGGCAAGTCACGTGGTAAAGGGTATAAATACCCAGGATTTCCCTTCTATAGGGGAGTAGAGAGTAGAGGAGTAGAGGAGTAGAGGAGTCGAGGAGGTAGAGATAGAAAGTAGGAGGTAGAGGTAGTAAGTAGTAGGAGAATAAAGAAGACTTGAAGAGACTCCACCGGACTCTGGCTTGTATCTATCTTTTGCGTCTCTCGCCCCTTTTTTCCCCTTCCTCCGTCCCCACTTTCTCTCTTGCTAGACCCTGACCTGCGGACCGGAGCAGCAGAACCGGCCGGCCTTTACAAAGTAACAGAACCTGACGGCCGTTACAAAAGAAACGGCAGTTACACAAAAGCTTGCATTTAAATGTTAGTTGTGGCTTTGCTTAAAATCATTAAAAATGAGAAACTACTTTATGCCCTTATTAGTTTTTTATCATTGCCATAACAAATCATGAGAAAGCTGATGGTTAAGAGAGCATAAATTTGCTGGGTGCAGCAGCACACACCTTTGATCTCAGCACACAATAGGCAGAGGCAAGTAGATCTCTGTGAGTTTGAAGTCAGCCTGGTCTACAGAGCAAGTTCAAGGACAGCAGAAACTATACAGAGAAACTCTGTCTCAAAAAAAAAAAAACAAAACCAAAAGACACATAAATTCACTATATTCATATTCTGCAAGTCAGAATCCAAAGGATGTGGAGGACTAGGTATGAATCCACTGTCTGTTTTTTTTTTTTGGGGGGGGGGTTCTGGACAGAACAATGTTCCTTGAGGTTGTAGAACCAAAATCTGTTTCCTTGTTTGAAAATTTAAGGTGGTTACCAGCCTCAACCTTTGATATCATGTCTTTCTTTCTCCTCTCTCTCTTCAACTTTTAAGAAGATTGATTATAGCAGGTCCAATGATTATAGCAGGTCCACATGGATAATCTAGGATAAGAACCCTATCAAGGTCCTTAATCTTAAATCTAAGTCAATTTTGCTGCATAAAGCAATATATTCTCAGGGTCTGGAGACTAAGGTGTCAATACCACTGAGATGCCATTATTCTTAAAGTACCCCAACTGGGAATTAAAAGTTGATACACCCACAGGATGAGGAACTAGCTGAAATAACTGAACTAACAGCAATGAGAAGAAACTACTGAAATTCAAAACATGTTTGAGTCCCAAATACACTATGCTAATAAAGCCAGCATCAAAAGACTACATACAGAGCTAAAGAAATGATTCACTGACTAGGCGTGCACATTGCTCTATGAGGTACCAGATTTCAGACCCAGCACCCTCATCAGTGACTCATAAATCCTTCAAGTGGCAGTCAACTTCAAACACTGAACGAAGAAGCAAACAACCCAATTTTTTAAATAAAGCTTTTCCAAGTAACAAACTGTTTTCTCTCTAC